TTGTCGTACTCCTTTCCCAATTTTGAACCAATCACTTGTTCCATATCCAGTTCTAACTGTAGCTTCTTGTCCCACATAGAGATTTCTCAGGAGACAGATGAGGTGATCAGGCACTCCCATCTCTTTAAGAACTTGCCATAGTTTGCTGTGGTCGACACAGTCAAAGGCTTTTGCATAGTCAATGAAGCAGAAGTAGATGTCTTTCTGGAACTCTCTAGCTTTCTCCATAATCCAGCACATGTTTGCAATTTGGTTTCTGGTTCCTCTGCCTCTTCTAAATCCAGCTTGCACTTCTGGGAGTTCTCGGTCCACATACTGCTTAAGCCTGCCTTGTAGAATTTTAAGCATAACCTTGCTAGCGTGTGAAATGAGTGCAATTGTGCGGTAGTTGGAGGATTCTTTGGCACTGCCCTTCTTTGGGATTGGGATGTAGACTGATCTTCTCCAATCCTCTGGCCACTGCTGAGTTTTCCAAACTTGCTGCCATATTGAGTGTAGCACCTTAACAGCATCATCTTTTAAAATTTTAAATAGTTCAGCTGGAATACCATCACTTCCACTGGCCTTGTTATTTGCAGTGCTTTCTAAGGCCCATTTGACTTCACTCTCCAGGATGTCTGGCTCAAGGTCAGCAACCACACTACCTGGGGTGTACGAGACATCCATACCTTTCTGGTATAATTCCTCTGTGTATTCTTGCCACCTCTTCTTGATGTCTTCTGCTTCTGTTAGGTCCTTACCACTTTGGTCCTTTATTATGGTAATCTTTGTACAAAATGTTCCTTTCATATCTCCAATTTTCATTGAACAGATCTCTGTTTTTCCCCATTCTATTGTTTTCCTCTATTTCTTTGCATTGCTCGTTTAAGAAGGCCCTCTTGTCTCTCCTTGCTATTCTTTGGAAATCTGTATTCTATTTCTTGTAGGTCTGCCTTGGATTCGTATCAAGATCATTCTATCATTTTTCAGATTGCATCCCAGTACAGCTTTTGCCACTCTTTTCTTGACTACGAGGGCCACTCCATTTCTTTTACGGGATTCTTGCCCACAGTAGTAGTTATGATGGTCATCTGAACTGAATTCGCCCATCCCTGTCCATTTTAGTTCACTGATGCCCAGGATGTCAATATTTATTCTTGCCATCTCATTTTCACCACATCCAACTTAACTTTCGGCTTTGGCCCAGCCGTTTCATCAGCTCTGAATCTACTTGTCCTTGTCCTCCGCTCTTCCTCAGTAGCATGTTGGACGCCTTCTGACCTGAGGGGCTCATCTTCCAGCGTCATAACTTTTATATGCCTGTTGTCTTTGTCCATGGAGTTTTCTTGGCAGGGCTACTGGAGTGGCTTGCCGGTTCCTGCTCCAGGTGGATCATGTTTGGTCAAAACTCTCCACTATGACCTGTCCGTCTTGGGTGGCCCTGCACAGCTTAGCTCATAGCGTCTCTGAGTTATTCAAGCCCCTTCGTCACAACAAGGCAGTGAAAGTGGCCCAATTGAATTCCATATTTTTCTTTCCCCCAGTTTTTGCTTCCTGAGGTGAAATCCACCAGGGGGTTTTAGGTTCTAAGACCACTTTATGTTTTTCCTATACTCTATATATCAATTTTCTTATTATATGATTCAAAACTGATTTCTTTCCATGTTTTAATATAATTGTCTTTAAATAGATTGGTGTTTTAATTTGTTAGCCAGATTCCCAAATACTTAGTTTTATTTACTGTTTCCAATCCTGATATTTTCTTTAGTCCTTCTTTTTCCTGTGTTGACATATTTTTTGCTAGCATACTAGTCTTATTTTTATTTAATTTAAATCCTGCCACTTCCAAATTCAAGGATTTTCCCTATTATTTCTGGTATGCTTTCCTCCAGATTTTCAGTAGTTAGAATTACATTGTCTGCAAAGGCCTTCATCTTGGGCGACTTCTTCCCCCTTGTTAGACCTTTTATGCCCTGGTCACTCCTTGTTGTCATTGCTAAGAATTCTAGTACCCTAATAAAAAGTGGAGGCGAAAGGGGGCAGCCTTGTCTGGCCCCCTGACTTATTTTACTTCTCTTATTTCACTATTTAGTATCAATTTGGCTCTCTGATTTCAATATATTGCCTCAACACCCCTAAGAATATATTCTGCAAGTCCTGTATTTTTTTTCATGAATGTAATGGTTCTAGGGGTTGCTCGTGCGTAAGCCAGTGCTTATCTCCCCGGCTGGGTGCCAACACCTGGCTGGGTTGCCTAAGTGAACCTTTCCTGTCCGGACAGCCACTCACCCGTGGCTGTCTCAATCGCTGGCAGAATCCGTCAGTGGGCGTTTCTTAAACTTCTTCCAGCAAAGAAGCTCTTTGACTCCTACTCTCTCTGCGTGGAAGCCTTCTGCACAAGGAGGGCGTAGGCAGCGGAGGACCCTTACTCTCCCCGCTGGTCCCCGGCAAGGAGTCATGGGACCGCCTCGCCGCTTCCCCCATCTGCCCCGCTTCTCCACTGGTGCTACGCTGATTCTCTTCCCCAGAAGATGGGCTGCTTCTCCCGATCCCTGGACGCTCTCTGGAATCCCTCTGGCTTTTGCTCTCTCCCTCCGGCACTGATGGCAGTTCCCTGACAATGAAGCTCCAAGAGATGTTGTCGAAGACCTTCTCCATGTCTATCAGCATCAAAATGGCTTTTTTATCTGATCGTGCTTCTAAATATTCTAAAATATCAATTATGTTTCTCATTTTATTGTGCATGTGTCTGCCTGGTAAGAAGCCAGCCTGATCTCTGTGTATTATTTCATTCAATACTTTTTTTTAACCTGTTAGCTAGGATGTTAGCAAACATTTTATAATCATTATTGAACAATGATATAGGTCTATAATTTTTGATTAGTGTTGGATCTGCTCCTTGTTTGGGTATCAGTGTGATAAATGCTTCTTCCCATGATTTTGGTATTCTTCCTTCCTTTAAAATTCCGTTTAGTACTGTTTCATTGGTTCTGATAATATATCTTCTAACTTCTTATAAAATGCCGCCAGTAATCCATCCGTACCTGGGGACTTTCCTATCTTTGCTTTTGAGATTGCTGCACCTCCATCATCGCTGTTGGTACATTTAGTTGTTCTATTTTCCAATCTGCTATTGTCGGGAGTCTATTTTGTGCTATGAATCATTCCATTTCCTCTTGGTCTTCTTCTTCATTGTGAAATTTCCTATAGTAATTTAATTTTTCTTTGCATATTTCTTTAGGATCTTCAATTATTTTTCATTTCTCTATTACTCTCTCTTCTTATTTTTTCTTTAATTGCCACGCAAGTAGCCTATCTGATTTATTGGCACCACTGGAGAGGTATAGAAATGGGGCTTCTGTTGGGAAGGGGCTGCCCCATTTGTGCTTCTCCAGGGGCAGGAGAATCCCTGCAGGGCCTCTGAGGCTCCCTTTCCTTCTTCCTCTCTCCCAGGACCCTCCAGCTCGTTTTGGCTCCTTGTCTCCTCAGGAAAGATAAAAGGGACGGATTCTGCAAACCTAGTGAGGATGGAAGGGGGAAGATGGACGGTTGACCTGGTCAGGTTGTCTCCTGCGTCCCTCCTCTCAACCTCTGAACGTTCCCTCCCAGGGACCTCCGAGAGATCTGGTGAGTCCCAGGGGAGGGGAGATGGGGACCTGGATGGATGGAGCCAGAGAGGAATTGGGGTGGGGGGGGCAGGCAGGTGGATGGAGATGGAGAAGGGGAGCACCTTTTTGGGCTCCGCCACCTGCCTGCCTTCCTGCACCTTTGTCATCTGCAGGCAATTTGAGCCAGGAATAGATCACAGGTCCCTGCCCTCCCTGCTCCCTGTGATGAATTGGCAGCTCTAAATGTCTAAAACCTGTTCTGTGATCTGAATGCCCTGCCAATGTCAGAAAACTCACTGATCCTGCTTTGCAGTTTGAATGCAGATGGGGCCTCTGTGTGTTGTCTTTTTCTTTTTGGAATAACTTCTTATTTGCTTTTAAAAACAAGGAACATAGGACTAATAAATGATACAGATATGTAGACTAAGTCTTCGCGTGCCATTTGCATATCAGAAATAGCAGAATAAATTTGCAGGAATGGCTATATATCTATATATATCTGGGTTCATGAATTGGTTTGAACTGAGTTATAGTCACTTTTCCTCTTCTGTTGCTAACAAAACAATACAGTCTCCTCATGGACATGGGAGGGGGGTTCAAAGTGAAGAAAGTGCTTTACGTATAAATTTAAATTTAGACCAACCAGATTGAGGCAACAGCTGATGGGGAGTGTTCAGGTGAAGCTGCTGCTGTTTGTTTCACAGACGAGACGTGGACGTTCCATACATACCTGCATGTGATGAACTTCAACTCTTTGGCTGGAGACCAACAGCATCTGGGATTCTAACACCCCCCACCGTGAACCCAGAATGGAGGGATATCAACTGTTTCCTCTGTGAATGTTCTGCGTCTAGTCATGCCTTTTAAAACAGTGACCAGGCTTCTCTGAACCACCCAGGCCTTCTTAAATGACGGATTTAGAGTTTTTAGGGAAGTTGATGTAAATTCTGTCAGGCATGTTGTTTTTGCTTCTGTTTGCATTTGATTGACCAAAGAGATGACTGACCTTGGAGATGGAGTGGATTCCAGGATTCCAGAACAAAATCCATTCCAGATAAAAGCCAAGCAATATGTCAGTAAATACCGGCCAACAAAGGCAGTGAAAACTATAGAAAGGCCCCACATCTAACTATTTTTAGTTCTTCCTCTATCACAAGCATTAATTAACTTGGTTCAATGATCTGGAGCTCCATTTCTTCCTAAGGCTCTAATTCGCTTCTCTCTTCATTGCAGATGGAGATGAACTGGAAGGGAAGAACAAGGGGGAGCACAACAGAATCCACATAGCGGAGAAGTCATATAAACATTCAGAGTGTGGAGAGAACATCCGTCAGAGCTCCCAGGACACCTCCCGTCAAAGAAAGAGCTTCGTTCAGATTGATAGCCTCACTGCACACAAAAGAGGACAGAGCAGGGAGAAATTGTATCAGTGCAGAAAATGTGGAAAGAGCTTTCGTGTGAGTGGTGATCTCACTTCCCATCAAAGAGTTCATACAGGGGAGAAACCGTATCAGTGCTTGGAATGTGGGAAGAACTTTAGTCACCGCCAGAATCTCGCTTCCCATCGCAGAATTCATACAGGAGAGAAACCCTATCAGTGCTTGGAATGTGGAAAGTGCTTCAATCGGAAGGATAGTCTCACTTCCCATCAAAGAATTCATACAGGGGAGAAACCCTATCAGTGCTTGCAATGTGGGAAGAGCTTCAGACACAGTAATACTTTCACTTTGCATCAAAGAACTCATACAGGAGAGAAACCCTTTCAGTGCTTCGAATGCGGGAAGAGCTTCAGGGAGGGGGCCAAGCTCACTTTTCATCAAAGAACTCATAAAGGGGAGAAACCCTATCAGTGCTTCGAATGCGGGAAGAACTTCAGTCAGAAGGTGAATCTCACTTCCCATCAAATAATTCATACAGGGGAGAAACCGTATCACTGCTTGGAATGTGGAAAGAGCTTCAGGGAGGGGGCCCAGCTCACTTTGCATCAAAGAACTCATAAAGGGGAGAAACCCTATCAGTGCTTGGAATGTGGAAAGAGCTTCAGTCAGAAGCCGAATCTCACTTTGCATCAAAGAATTCATACAGGGGAAAAACCCTATCAGTGCTTGGAATGTGGAAAGAGCTTCAGGGAGGGGGCCAAGCTCACTTTGCATCAAAGAACTCATAAAGGGGAGAAACCCTATCAGTGCTTGGAATGTGGAAAGAGCTTCAGTCAGAAGGCGAATCTCACTTCCCATCGAAGAATTCACACAGGGGAAAAACCCATTCAGTGCTTGGAATGTGGAAAGAGCTTCAGTCAGAGGGCCCATCTTACTTCCCATCGCAGAATTCATACAGGGGAGAAACCCTATCAGTGTGTGGAATGTGGAAAGAGCTTCAGTCACAGGAACAGTCTCACTTCCCATCAAAGAATTCATACAGGGCAGAAACCCTATCAGTGTTTCGAATGTGGAAGGAGCTTCACTGATAGCTCCCATCTCACTTCCCATCACAGAATTCATACAGGGGAGAAACCTTTTCATTGCCATGAGTGTGGAAAGAGCTTTCGTCACAATTGCAGTCTCACTTTCCATCAAAGAACTCATACAAGTCAGAAAGTATAAGTGCTTCAAATGTGGGAAGAGCTTCAGTTAAGTCTGTGGGAATGTTCAGGGATGCAGGAGAGGATATATTGCTTGATTATATCCTTTCCAACTTGTATTAACAAATTCTACAATTTAGCAGAGTAACATTCCCCTTTTTAAACTTGTGCAGCGGATGCGTTTGCTCACGCTCGCTAAAGCCTCTACGTTTCGTTGGCAATATTCCCCTTTAGTACCTCATAAAAAGATAGACATGGCACAGTCTTCTATAAAAGTATAAAAAAGTTTACTCACATTCTGTTCACAAATGGATCCCAGAAGGCAGACTTAAGTTAGAGAAGTAATATACCTAGAAACTATCCCATAAGGAGACATACCTTTTGTCCTCTTTCGGCTGGAAGCCGAGAGAGCATCTTAGGCTAAGCAGATGTTGGTTCTTCAGCAAATGTGGTCAGAGAGAGAGATGGCTGACCACTCCTGCTCTACAGTTGCCTGGGCAGGTGAGGTCACGTCCACCTCTAGTCACATGCAGAGGCAGCCTAGGAGAAACAGGAAGTTCCAACTGGCTGGTCCAAACATCCCCTTTTATGTATGTTATGATGCTTTACTGAGAAATGATTTGATTGTAAATAAAGCTCAGGAGACCCTAAAGGACTATTTTGAGTTGAACCTGAATCCTGGAATTGAAGCAAGGGTCGTATGGGATGCAAGTAAAGCTATAATGCGAGGTTTTCGGATTCAACAGAATTCTATCAGGAAAAAAGCACAGAATGAGTAAAAGGAAAAAATTCTGTCTCAATTGAAAGGGAAAGAGAAAAAACTGAGATGTAACCCCAAAAAATCAACAGATTGAAAAGGGAATTAAAGTGTTACAATTTCAGTATTCACAAATAGTAAACTAATAAATTGAATGGAAAGTTAAATTGATGAAACAAAAGACTTTTGAATCGGCAAATAAATGTGGAAAATTATTGGCTTGGCAATGAAAAAGAGACAGAAGGAGAGTACAATAATCAATATTATGGAGAATGGCAGGAATATTGAGAACCCAGCAGAGATTAGAAAATGCTTTCACAAGTACTACAAGCAGCTTTTAAAAAAGAAAAAGAAGAAAATGAAAAAATGGAAGAGTTTTTGGACAAAAATGGATTGCATAAAATTCCAGCGGACAAAATAGAATCATAGAATCATAGAGTTGGAAGAGACCACAAGGGCCATCGAGTCCAACCCCCTGCCAAGCAGGAAACACCATCAGAGCACTCCTGACATATGGTTGTCAAGCCTCTGCTTAAAGACCTCCAAAGAAGGAGACTCCACCACACTCCTTGGCAGCAAATTCCACTGTCGAACAGCTCTTACTGTCAGGAAGTTCTTCCTAATGTTTAGGTGGAATCTTCTTTCTTGTAGTTTGGCTCCATTGCTCCGTGTCCGCTTCTCTGGAGCAGCAGAAAACAACCTTTCTCCCTCTTCTATGTGACATCCTTTTATATATTTGAACATGGCTATCATATCACCCCTTAACCTCCTCTTCTCCAGGCTAAACATGCCCAGCACCCTTAGCCGTTCCTCATAAGGCATTGTTTCCAGGCCTTTGACCATTTTGGTTGCCCTCCTCTGGACACGTTCCAGTTTGTCAGTGTCCTTCTTGAATTGTGGTGCCCAGAACTGGACACAGTACTCCAGGTGAGGTCTGACCAGAGCAGAATACAGTGGCACTATTACTTCCCTTGATCTAGATGCTATACTCCTATTGATGAGGCCCAGAATTGCATTGGCTTTTTTAGCTGCCGCGTCACACTGTTGGCTCATGTCAAGTTTGTGGTCGACCAAGACTCCTAGATCCTTTTCACATGTACTGCTCTCAAGCCAGGTGTCACCCATCTTGTATTTGTGCCTCTCATTTTTTTTTTGCCCAAGTGCAATACTTTACATTTCTCCCTGTTAAAATTCATCTTGTTTGTTTTGGCCCAGTTCTCTAATCTGTCAAGGTCGTTTTGAAGTGTGATCCTGTCCTCTGGGGTGTTAGCCCCCCCTCCCAGTTTGGTGTCATCTGCAAATTTGATCAGGATGCCCTTGAGTCCATCATCCAAGTCATTGATAAAGATGTTGAATAAGACCGGGCCCAAGACAGAACCCTGTGGCACCCCACTAGTCACTCTTCTCCAGGATGAAGAGGAACCATTGATGAGCACCCTTGGGTTTGGTCAGTCAGCCAGTTACAAATCCACTGAGTGGTAGCATAGTCAGAATCTACTAAAAGAACCTACTAAATGAACTGTTTACAAGACAAGAAGTTGAAGTGGCAACTGACCAAATGAAAATAGGCAAAGCACCAGGACCTGATGGTTTAACATCCATATATTATAAAATATTTAAGGATTGGCTGATACAACCATTGATGGATGTTTGTAACAAGATTTTACAGGGGGACAAAGCACCTGGGTCCTGGAAAGAGGCATTCATCACTCTGATACCCAAACCAGATACAGATAGAGCTCAAGTAAAGAATTACTGACTAATTTCTTTATTGAATGTCAATTATAAAATATTTGCAAACATTTTGGCTACAAGATTGAAGAAGGTTTTGAATAAGCACATACATAAAGATCAATCAGGTTTTTAACCTGAGAGGCATACGAAAGATAATACAGTGCGGGGGAAAGAAAATTCACAAAGGTTTTGAGAACCACATTTTCCGAGGTCTCTTAATCGAAGTATGGGTTAGGGGCTTTGAAAAGACTCAATATGGAGGCCAAATGGCCGAAATATTGGGAGATATTAGAACAAGAAGGAGATAAATTGAAATTGCAGAGTTTTGAGAAACTAAAAGATAAAGTGCAAGATTGGTTTCATTATCATCAAATTAGAGAGGCCTATAATTTGGACAAAAAAATGGGCTTCCAGGTGGAAAAATCAAAATTGGAAACGGAACTGTTAGAACCTAAAACTAAGATACTATCAAGAATGTATAATTTGCTGTTAAAATGGAATACACAGGATGAAACGGTTAAATCGGCTATGATTAAATGGGCACAAGACATTGGCCATAACATTATGTTTGCTGACTGGGAAAAGTTGTGGACCACCGGTATGAAATTTATGGCATGCAATGCCCTAAGAGAGAATATTATGAAAATGATTTATAGGTGGTACATGACCCCAGTCAAGGTTGCTAAAATTTATCACTTGCCTGATAACAAATGTTGGAAATGTAAAGAAACTGAGGGTACATTCTTTCACCTTTGGTGTACGTGCCCAAAGATTAAGGCTTTCTGGGAAATGATATATAATGAACTGAAAAAGGTATTTAAATATACCTTCCTTAAGAAACCAGAGGCCTTTCTCCTGGGCATAGTCGGCCAATTGGTGCCAAAGAAAGAACATTTTTTATGTATGCAACTACAGCAGCAAGAATACTCATCGCAAAGCACTGGAAGACACAAGATTTGCCCACCTTGGAAGAATGGCAGATACAAGTGATAGACTATATGGAGATGGCAGAAATGACTGGCAGAATCCGAGACCTGGGAGAAGAGTCGGTGGAAGAGGATTGGAAGAAGTTTAAAGACTACCTGCAGAAATACTGCAAAATTTATGAATGTTAAAATGATGTTGGATATAAAAATAATATGGCATTAGTGATAAAGTTAAAAAGAGTATGCAAAAATGATTTAAAAAATGGGTGAAAGACTAGAGATATATTATGTCGAACTTAAACAATATGGTACAAGTGATTAAGTTATAAGGAATAGGTAAGAATTGAACTAAAAAGATAAGAAAGATCGGTGACATAATAGGTTGAACTATATAATTATTAATGAGATTTGAAAGAGGGTAAGGATTTGCTGAATCTGACTGGGTAAAGGGGGAACACAAAAAAGGGAGATGCGAGGAAGTCAAGAAAGAGGGTAAAATAAGTACAAAACTAAAAATTGGATTTTTTCTTTTTTATGTTTTTTATTATCTATTTTGATGTATTTTTTCCTTTTTTGTACTTTTTTGTATTGTTTCGGCTATGTTTGTTTTTCTGTTTTTTTATTGTATGTATCTATTTGTTTTCTTTGTGTAAAACCTTAATAAATATTTTATAAAAAAATAATAATAATTGAAGTATGGGTTAGGTATAAAAACCTATTAGAACCAAGAACTCCTCACTGGTTATCCCCATTAGAGGTTATGAGTGTAAAGAAAATCAACATGAGAGGTAAATGGATTACATATGGAGATGCGATAATCAAAGGAGGAGGAAAATGGAAATTGAAACCATATGAACAAGTTAAAGAATGTTGTCAGGGGTTCAGGGACAGAGGCACAGGGGAGGGAGGAGACGGAGAGCGATGGGGAAGAATCCCAGGACAGCGAGGAAGAGGATGACAATGACTCGAGGTATTCCACGAGTCTTTCAAGTGAATCGGAGGATTCCCAGAAGGGGGCGCCTGTGGTCAGGCCAAGGGGAGTCACAGGGGGGACTCGTCAGGAGCAGGGGACCAGCAGGGGATCCCAAATTGGGAGCTGGGAGTCGGGACCGGCTTCCCCGCCAGAGCGCAGTGAAGGGGGTGGAGATTCCAGTGTGACAGGGGAAGCAGCTCCGACAGCAGAGAAGGGGGGAAGATCGGAGCAAGACGTCCTCCCGGAAGGAGAGGGGAGTAGTGCAGGGAGTAGTGTAACTGTCAAGAGGAAGGTTAGAGGTTGCGAACGCGCGCCAAGTTCAAATGTGGAGGCGCGCGAAAGAACAGGGAGCCCGGAGGAGGAGCCAGGTCCCAAAGCCCACAGGAGGGGGGAAGAGCTGTCTGGGGATTCCGCGTCAGGGGAATCCAGGAGGGGCGAAACCCCAGGGGGCAGGAAGACCCTGTGGAAAAGGAAAGAAAGGAAGAGGTGGAGCAGCACAGCCCTCTTAAACTGGTGCAGGGGAGGGACTGACTCAGAGGGGACTTCAGCGGTCTAAGCGTAACAGACGTGGGGCTGCGCGCCTCGGCTGTGGAGCGAACAATGAACTTCAATAAACATCTTTGTATATAAACTGGACTTGGCGTTGGTCTCTTGTGAGCTGGGACCTGAGGCAGCCCTGACAAATGTGTTTATGATTGGTTGCATTTTAAAGAAAGTGGTTATGAAGAAAAAGACTCAAAATTTCAAATAGAAATAATAAATAATGATTGTAAAATTTTGTCAAAAATGTATAGGTTGTTATTGGAATGGTACACGAAAGATGAAGAAGTTAAATCGGTAATGATACAGTGGGCCAGGGATTTTGGATATAACATACAATTTGAAGATTGGGGAAAAGTATGGAAGGAAAACTTAAAATTTACAGCATGTATGACGTTAAAAGAAAATGTCATGAAAATGGTATATAGATGGTATATAACACCGGTAAAGTTAGCGAAAATGTTTAAGATATGTAATAAATGTTGGAAATGTAAAGAAAAAGAAGGAACATTTTATCACATGTGGTGGGAATGTAAGAAAGTGAAAAGTTTCTGGGAGATGATATATAATGAATTGAAAAAGATGTTAAAATATACATTTATAAAGAAACCAGAGGCTTTTCTTTTAGGGTTTACAGGACATGAAATGAAAAGAAAGGACTGCAAACTCTTCCAATATGCAGTTACAGCAGCAAGAATTCTACTGGCCCAGAAATGGAAACAAGAGGAAATACCGACAATGGAAGAATGGAGAAGGAAGCTGTTAGACTATGCAGAATTGGACAAACTGACTGGGAAGATTAGATATCTTCGAAACCAAAAGTTTATCGAGGACTGGGGAAAATTTACAGATTATCTGAAAAGTTTTTGTGATGAGCAGATAATGCTAGTGGGGTTTTAAGAAGCACTGTGAAACTGGAGAAGTATTGTTAAAAGGGAATAGAAGTGAGAGGGTTTATTAATGACAGTACAAACTTGGGAAATGCGTAACTTAAATTTATATATGGATGATTTTCAGAGAAGCTGAAGGAAGTCCAAAAAGAGACAATTTGTGAAAATTTGAATATGAAATTATTATATATTTGTATTGGAAACTAAGAAAAAAAAAGAAAAAAATATAATCACAACGCTGCAGGGCAGTGCTTAAAAAAAGAAAAGAAAGATAATACAGTGGTACCTCAGGTAACAGACTCTGCTAACCCAGAAATAGTACCTCGGGTTAAAAACTTTGCTTCAGGATGAGAACAGAAATCACGTGGCTGCAGCAGGAGGCCCCATTAGCTAAAGTGGTGCTTCAGGTTAAGAACAGTTTCAGGTTAAGAACGGACCTCTGGAATGAATTAACTACTTAACCCGAGGTACGACTGTATTAGGAACATAGCAGATGTGCTGGAAAGATTAGAGGTAAAAAATAATACTAAAGCAATGTTAATGTTTATTGATGCAGAGAAAGCCTTTGATAATGTTTATTGGAGTTTTATGAAACAGAACTTATGTTAAATGGGGGTTGGTCAAAACTTTCTAAATGGTATTAACACAATTTACTTTGAGCAGAAAGCAAAAATTATAATTAACAATGTGGTCTCAGAAGAAATTAGGATTGAGAAGGGAACCAGGCAAGGGTGCCCACTCCCCCCCCCCCGCTTTCTATTTCTGTCCTAGAGGTGCTGCTGAATAGGATAAGGAAGGATGAGGAAGTTAAAGGCATAGTAGTGGGAACTAAGCAATGTAAGTTAAAAGCCTTTGCTGATGATTTGGTATTGACTTTACAGGACCCTGAGATCAGTGCAATCAAAGCACTATTGATAATTCAAGAGTTTGGACAGGTTGCAGGTTTTAAATTGAATAAGAATAAAACCGAAGTCTTAGAAAAAAATTTAACGATACATGAAAAACCTAATTTAGAGGAAACCACAGGGCTGAAGTTTGTGAAAAAGGTGAAATATCTGGGTGTAAATATGACTGCAAAAATTTGAATTTAGATTTAGATTTAGATAAATTTATTGTCATTGTCCGTATATACACAGTATACACAACAACGAAAATCAAACACCCAACCCAAAGACCGGGTTCACATATACATTTGCACGTATCTCCGAACTCTCATCCTATTTAAACATAATCTATAAAACATAACATAATCCAGAATATAGCATGACCTATTAAAGGCATAACATAACCTAAAACCTATCTCATTCCTTCTACTCCCTACTTACTAAACCTTGCAACTGGCCCTGAGATCATTATTTAGTGCAATCAGAGCTCTTGGATAGAAACTATTCAGAAGGCGTGTGGTTCGTGTTTTCATTGTCCTATATCTTCTGCCCGAAGGCAATAGTTCAAAGAAGTTGTGAGCAGGGTGGGTGGGATCTCTCAGAATATTATGTGACTTCTTCAAGATGCGAGACGTGAAGATCTCATCCAGGGTTGGTAGTCGGAGCCCAATAACGTTCTGGGCAATTTTAATTGTTCGCTGTAAAGCTTTTTTATCTGTTTCAGAGCTGCTCCCATACTACGATAATTTGTATAAAGACAACTATGAAAAGTTATGGAAGGATATCAAAAGAGATTTGGACATCTGGACAAGGTTGAAACTATCTTTGTTGGGTCGAATTTCTGCGGTAAAGATGAATGTATTGCCTAAGTTGTTTTTGTTTCAAGTTCTCCCTATCATTGACAAGTTGAATTGTTTTAAGGAATGGCAAAAAGTATTATCTAAATTTATCTGGCAGGGGGAAAACCCCCAGAATTAAGTTTAAATTATTAACAGATGTGAAAGAGAGAGGGGGTTTCTTCCTGTCAGATTTAAGGAGCTATTTTTGAAGCAGCAGCCTTTTGCTGGTTGAAAGAATGGTTTTTATTAGAAGTTACGGTGGGTGGGAGAGGCCATGTCAACTTCTCTGCTGGGTTGCCAAGGACAAGAACTCAGTGCCCATCCTTGCTCGCAGATTATTCCAGAATGGCTTTTGTTGGAAGATACACGTTTTAGATTTGGAAGGTTTTGATAAAGTATTTGGTTGGCATGCATATTTTGTTGGGATACTGCCAGGGAGACATAGGCCATCACTGCCTCCACATCGACTCCGGACGTCCATCGACCTCCCGTAGATACAGTATCAGCAATTAGTGACACGAGCTCCAGAAAATAGCTTTCCACATTCCAGAGCACATGCACGCTCTATCGCAGAGTTCGTACAGCGAAAGACGCACTCAGGAGAGTATTATTTAGAAGTTTATTCAGCGTCAGTCAGGACAAAGAAAAAACATGACTGACTGCCTGCTTGCGTGTTCAGGCTCAGAGAGAGAGAACAGCTCTATCAAAACACAAACATCCTGTGAACAGGAAATACGCAGACTCTGTGATTCACAAAGCCTGCTCCCTTTTAAGGTGGAACGGAAATATCCTAACATATTTGTGCTATGAGAAGATAATAGAATCCTAGAGTTGGAAGAGACCCCAAGGGCCATCGAGTCCAACCCCCTGCCAAGCAGTAAACACCATCAGAGCACTCCTGACATATGGTTGTCAAGCCTCTGCTTAAAGACCTCCAAAGCCGGAGACTCCACCACACTCCTTGGCAGCAAATTTCACTGTCGAACAGCTCTTACTGTCAGGAGATAAAAGCTCACAAAGGATTTAAAAATCATGTAATTAGAAAATCTATGTACAATGTTTGGATAAGATATAAGAATTTGCTAGAAAGGAAAACACCCAGGTGGATATCACCATTGAAGCTAAGACCCATAAAAGGTTGAATATGAACGCCACGTGGTTGAAGTATAATGATATTTTGATGGAAGTAGGGGACCAATTTAGATTTAAATATTATGATCAGTTGAAAGATAAATTAGATTATTGGTTCCAGTACATTCAGATAAATGAAGTGTTTAAAATGGATAAGAAAATTGGTTTTCAAACAGAGAAATCCAAACTGGAAATGGAATTATTAGATGCAAAAACAAAAAATCTATCTAAGATGTATAATTGATTGCTGGAATGGCATACGAAAGATGAACAAGTGAAATCTGTAATGATTGAATGGGCCGGGGATGTGGGACGCAATATTATGATGGTGGATTGGGAGAAATTGTGGAAAAAAGGAATTAAATTCACAGCATGTAATATATTCATAGAAAATTTGATGAAAATGATGTGTAGATGGTACTTAACACCAGTGAAGTTAGCAAAAATGTATCATACTCATGATAATAAATGCTGGAAATGTAAGGAAAAAGAAGGAACCTTTTACCACATGTGGTGGACGTGCCCCTAGGTAAAAGAGTTCTGGGAAAGGATTTATAGTGAACTGAAAAAAGTGTTGAAAAACACATTTATTAAGAAAGGCTGTAGGGTTAGAAGTAGAAGATAGTGTATTTTAAAATAGTATTATCTGTAAGTAATAAAATGAATATTTTTATGGTTAAAGTAAGCGTGATTTTAAAAAAAGGTTAGAAATTATGATATATGTAACTGCTAAAGATGAGGTAAAATGAAAATCAGATAGGGGGGATTTGGGAAGCCCACCTAACAATGTTTAGAAAAAATAAGGACAATACAATAATTTGTATTGTTTGTTTTTCTGTTTGTGTTGCTTATTAGTGTTATAAAATGAATAATTTTTTTTTGGGGGGGGGGAAGAATGAAGCTCCAGAACGAATTAAGTTCTTAACCTGAGGTACCACTGTACTTGATTGCTCTTGTGTTTCACATCCCACAAAAGCACCCATCTCACAACCCATCAAGGAATTCATTCAGGGGAGAAACCATATCAGTGCTTGGAATGTGGAAAGAGCTTCAGTCAGAAGGAAAGTCTCATTTCCCATCAAAGAATTCATACAGAGGGAAAACAAGAAAATAAAAATAATAAAGCGAAAATTATTTAACAACTCTAACAAAACACAATTGTACAGTGGTGCCCCGCAAGACGAATGCCTTGCAAGACGGAAAACTCGCTAGACGAAAGAGTTTTCCATTTTGGAGGTGCTTCGCAAAACGAATTTCCTATGGGCTTGCTTCGCAAGACGACAATGTCTTGCAAGTTCCTACGGGTCCCCCCCCTCCCCTCCCTTTTTCTAAGCTGCTAAGCTGCTTATCAGCTGATCCGCTAAGCCGCTTATCAGCTGATCCGCTAAGCCACTTATCAGCTGATCCGCTAAGCCGCTAATAGCGCTAAGCCGCTAATGGGCTTGCTTCGCAAGACGAAAAAACCGCAAGACGAAGAGACTCGCGGAACGGATTCTATTTGAGGCACCACTGTATAGAAAAGAGAAAGGGGGGGGAGAATAACTAAAATACCCTTTATCACATTTGTATCATATATATCATATAATTCATCAACCCATAGAAAGACAGGCTCCCCCACCTCTCCCCTGCGTGACCCCCTCTTCTCCCCGTCTCCCACCCTGAGAGATCCTTCCTTCCCTGCGTTCCTTGCAGGTCCCTCCCACCTCCAACTCTCCTCTTCCTGTGTGTGTCCTCCTAAATTCAAAATAAAGGAATCTTAATATAAAAAATCCAAAAAGAGATGAAAAGGAAACTCCCATATCCGTCTGAAAATCATCCGTAGCAACAATTATTCAGAACATGCCCTCCAGAATAAACCCAGCTGCATTTAGTACCCAGCCTTTCTCCTCCCCTTCAGCAAGATGACACTTTCCCTTCATCTCCCTCCCTAGCCCAGCCTTCAAATCTTATCCACTCAGACAGTTCAATATGACTCTTATAATGATCATCTAATAATCCAAATGGGTATCTCTCCAGTTTCTCAGTCCAGTTTCTGTAAAGCCTTATTAAAACTGTTCCAACGAATCTCAGCCGAGTCACAATGGAAAATGATGGTCTCTTATAATGTTCGTCCAATCCTGCTTCCTCTTCTTTCTTCTTTCCCTAATCTTTGGACATTTAAATCCACTGGGGATGGGGAAGCAGGCATCTTAATCCCCTTTCCTCAGAGTCTCCCTCATACGAGATCATAGGTTGCGTGGTTAATAGTTTCCGTTGTTGCACTGAATCCCCTTTTGCTGGCTGTATATTTACATATATCTGCCAATCCCGATCCTGCTTGCTGGTGGGCGAGCGATTTTTGGCATTCCCCTCCCCGCCCCATTACTACCTGTGTAAATTTTGAACCTCATTTTGGGGTTAAAAAAGCTCATCTTATACATGGAAAAATACAGTTGTGTGCCACACACACACACACCTGCCTCTTGTTTGGAGGAGGAGTGAGAGACGGAGGCACTTTGCTGACAGAATGGCACTTCCCTCGCCCCTCCTTTCCTCCCAGGCGCTCCTCCTTCCACAACAACCCTGCCAGGCTGGCCTCTGGCATGTGGCCCCCTTTCCAGCAGGCGAAGCTGCAGGGGCCACTCACTTCCTGGCCCTCCAAAAATGGAGGAGGCTTTTGACCAGGCATCTTCAAACTATGGTCCACGGGCCGGATCTGGCCCACCAGGCTTGTAAATGTGGCCCGTGGATCCTGCCACCCGCTCGGTCAGTCCCCGCGCACTGAGCTAAACCAGCACGGCAGGAGGTTTTCTTGAAAAGAAACTGCGGACGCCCTTGTTCGTATCGAGAGAGAGAGGGCCGAGGGGAACAAAAGCTGCTCTGCCTGGCCGTCTCTGCAGGGACGTTGTGGGGAAACGGGCTCCTTTTGCACCCATGTCTCTAGAGGGGATAAACTTGGCTCTGGACTGTACCACTTCAAATGCCCCGGAGGGGGAGGTAAAGGGATACCCAATGACCCACATTCTGATTTATTTATTTTGGGGTGGGAGGGATATGCTGATTTTGCTCAAGTCAGTCTCCCCTACTCAGGTTCCTCAGGTTGAATCCTGACAAGACAGAAGTACTGTTTTTGGGGGACAGGGAGCGGGTTGGTGTGGGGGATTCCCTGGTCTTGAATGGGGTAACTGTGCCCCTGAAGGACCAGGTGCGCAGCCTGGGAGTCATTTTGGACTCACAGCTGTCCATGGAGGCGCAGGTTAACTCTGTGTCCAGGGCAGTTGTCTACCAGCTCCACCTGGTACGCAGGCTAAGACCCTACCTGCCCGCGAACTGTCTCGCCAGAGTGGTGCATGCTCTAGTTATCTCCCGCTTGGACTACTGCAATGCGCTCTACGTGGGGCTGCCTTTGAAGGTGACCCGGACACTACAATTAATCCAGAATGCGGCAGCTAGACTGGTGACTGGGAGTGGCCGCCGAGACCACATAACACCGGTTCTGAGAGATCTGCATTGGCTCCCAGTACGTTTCCGAGCACGATTCAAAGTGTTGGTGCTGACCTTTAAAGCCCTAAATGGCCTCGGTCCTGTATACCTGAAGGAGCGTCTCCACCCCCATCGTTCAGCCCGGACACTGAGATCCAGCGCCGAGGGCCTTCTGGCGGTTCCCTCATTGCGAGAAGTGAGGCTACAGGGAACCAGACAGAGGGCCTTCTCGGTAGTGGCGCCCGCCCTGTGGAACGCCCTCCCATCAGATGTCAAAGAGATAAATAATTACCTGACATTCAGAAGACATCTTAAGGCAGCCCTGTTCAGGGAAGTTTTTAATATATAACACTGTGCTGTTTTTAACACTGCTTGGGAGCCGCCCAGAGTGGCTGGGGAAACTCAGCCAGATGGGCGCGGTATAAATAATAAATTATTATTATTATTATTATTATTATTATTATTATTATTATTATTACTACTCCAAAAAGGTTCTCTCCCACAATCCCAAAGACAACACAGGCCCCCCTCAAGAGTCTCCTAGAGCATGTGCAGAGTCAGAGTTCAGAGATGCTTTTGTTGCGATTCCTGTCTTACGGAAGGTTGGACTAGATGACCCTCAGGGCTCCCTTCCAATTAATCATTTCACAGCACGCAAGTGAGGAGGGGCAGGGACTGTCAGAAAGGGGGGCTTTTGCTATGCACAGATCTGGCCCCCTCCTTAAAATCACAGCTGTGAATCTGCAGGATGCGAAGCCAAGCAGACCCCTGACCCCCATAAAGGAAGGGGAAGGGGGCTTCCCACAAGGGACCGGAGGGGCAAGAATGGGCAGCCAAAGAGGAGGGACCCAGGAGTCCGGGGGCCTACGATCCACTTCGCCCTTTCAACGGGATCCGGAGACAGGCAACAAATCAAGCCAGGAGCTGGGTTGCCCAAAGTCCGTTACTGCAGAAAGAAGAGAAATCCGTAAGGTACTGACCCCCGCCCCGGAAGATCAACAACAGACCAAATCTTAATCCTAAATCACTTGGCCACCAAGTACGCTGGCAATGGCCTAAAAGCCCTCCACGTCGCCTTTATAGACTTTAAGCAGGCCTTTGATCTAATTCCCAGGAACCAGCTATGGACAAAATTGGCTGCGACATCTATCGACCGCCGCCTTCTCTTGCTGATTATTAATTTGCATACAAATACCCTCTTGAGGATTAGGCTAGATAGTAAGGGGCTAGTCTCCAATCCGGTTGCCACCACTAGGGGGGTAAGACAGGGCTGTTTGCTTGCCCCTGCTCTGTTTAATTTCTATATTAATTCGCTAGTGGTGCATATGGCAAATGCTGATTTCCATCCACCAAAACTGGCAGGACGAGCCTTGAATGTCCTACTGTATGCGGACGATGCCACCCTATTAGCTACCTCTCCCATCGGGTTAAGGAGGATGCTTCGAGCTCTTCATGATGATACGGAAGGAGGAAGGGGGGGTACCCTTCCTCTCCACCGCTTCCTGAAGGGGCCCGAGGCGATGACCTCGACAGTGCCCAGCTCTGCCCGGAACCCTCAGCCCCCACACTGTTGCACAAGCACCACACTATACCCCTGCCTTATGAATAAAAGGCTCTCTTTCCTATCTTCATATGGGCGGAATAAGCCCTATATTTTCTATGTCTTTCTCTCGCCCTATTTCTAACGTGAGTAGACCGTGTCATATTGTATCTCCATTCACTGAAATGAGCCGCGCCTTAGCCAATCACAGCCTTGCATTCGCCCTGCAGGAGCTAGCTCAGGGACCTTGCACGCCTCATTTAACCTCCTGACAAGCTACTGACGGCCCCCCGCGGCGAGAACAATGGAACCGAAACCCCGGACCTCGTAAAACTGTCAAAGTCTGGATACAATGTATCCACTTCGTTTCCGCTTTTGATCCTCAGTGTATATTTGACCGGCAAAGCGGGAAACTTTGAAAATCTCTATAAAATCAACCACAACTCCGATTTTTCCCATCTTAGTGCCATTCAACTCAGTGGCCTCTAGACTCCATGATGCTACCCCTACTTCCATAATCCCTGAGACGACAAGTCACGTACACAGGAACTTTCTAATCCCTTCAGATCGCTCCTCCGGGCAATGCCAGGTGTCAGACCATGCATATCTCTGGACTATTGTCTTGTTACCACCGGTACTCAGGAAGTGTTTATCCATGCATATCTCCCACTCTGCATATTCCCCCTCCCTTATCTGAAATGTTAATTAGTGCAACCCCACCTTTCTTAGATATATTCATGACGTGTGTAATGTATTCATGATGCAATCCGTGAAACCCAACCTTCTCATAATGTATTCATGACGTTTCTTGCACTGTATTCTGGGACTTGGAGGGAACTTTTAAAAGTTCATGCCACCCCTTTCTCGGGGTTCAATCTCGCCTTGAACCTGTTGCGCAATAAACTTTGGATCTCCGCATCTTGCTCCTGCGTCCGGCTGAGCTTATTTTCTCCGCTAGGACCCGCGGACTTTGTCCGACGTGCTGGGTGGCAGGGCAACCCCGCACCCGGGATTTTTCCGTAACAATGAATATGAGACCCAACACGAGCTCCAATTAAATTATGCCAAGACCAAAATAATGGTCTTTGCTGCT